TAATGTCATTAGGTTCCTCTTTAACTTTGAAAAGCCATTTGCACTCAACAATAGAACAATTAGGAGTCATAGGAACTAGGGTCCAAGTTTTATTCAACTTAAGGGAATCTATTTCACTCTGCATAACACTAAGCCAATTTTTAGATTCTCTAGAGGCAAGGGCTTCCTAGTAGGTTTTAGGTTCATTTAATTCAAGAGTTTCAAAAACAGAGAAAGCAAACAAGGAAGTATCATACAGATGAAAAGCATAGTCAGTCATGCTATCAGAAATTTTCCCTATATTTCTCCTAACCCTGTCTCTAGCTAACTGGTAGTTATCTAGATTCTGATTCTCAGTATTCATTTCATGAAAATCATTGTTATCAGTAGAATCATCTCCAGCAAACACATCATGCACATTTTCATCATGATTATTAAACCCAGTAGGCTGCTTCACCTCACTGGAGGTGGAGGGTGTGTCATGCAAAGTGTTGGTCAGGTCAGGAGCATCAGAATATTCAAACTCATCAAACAGAGGGGCAGCAGTAGTCTGGATTGGCTCCACCTCACTGGGAGTGGTGCCATCAGAGCTCAATTCAGGGTCAGTCACATTTTCAATAAGCAAGGAAAATCAACTTCATTGAACACAACATTTCTACTTATTATGACTTTAAAACCAATCTGACTCCTATCCCAGATCCTATACCCTTTTACCCCTTCAGGATAACCTAAGAAAATACACTTTTTAGACCTAGGATCCAGCTTGTCAGATTGTTGGTGTACATAGGCAGCACATCCAAACACCTTTAAGTTTAACAGGTCAAGGGGTTTCTTAGAGAAGACAGACTCAGGGCATTTACCCTCTAAGGGTACAGAAGGAGACCTATTGATCAAGTAGGTGGCAGTGTTAACAGCTTCTCCCCAAAACTTCTTGGGGAGGCCAGAAGTAGCAAGCATACTTCTGACTTTGTCAAGGAGGGTCATATTCATTCTTTTAGCCAAACCATTTTGTTGGGGAGTATAGGGCACATTTTTGTGTTTCCTAATCCCACACTCAGTACACAACCTATCCATATCCTTATTGCAGAATTCTAATCCATTGTCAGTTCTAAGGGTTTTAACCTTACATCCAGTTTGATTTTCTACCATAATTTTCCATTCTTTAAACCTAACATACACATCAGATTTATGTTCTAACAAACAGACCCAGACTTTTCTAGAAAAGTCATCAATTATGGATAGAAAGTACCTCCTACCACCATGGGTAGGGACACTGGAGGGGACCCCACGCATCAGCATGTATGTAGTCAAGGACAACTTTGGACTTAGGCTCACTAGGATAGCTAGAGGTAGGAAACTGAACCCTATGTTGTTTACCTAAGACACAACCCTCACAGAATGGTATAAGTAACACCAAGTCATTTCCAAAACACCTAGATTTTTGTAAAATGTTCAAACCTTTATTACTCATATGACCAAGTCTTTGGTGCCAAAGCACACATTTATCAGTGAGTACAACATTAGCATTTTCAGAAAAAAGGTTTAGCATGAACAACATACAAGTTATTTTGTTTCAAAGCCTTGAATAAAATAAGCGAGTTTTTCAAAATTTTCATACACCCATTCCCCCAGTTACCCTCAAGACCACATTCTTCAAAAGCAGAAACAAAAAGCAGGTTGTGCCTAGATCAGGGACATGTCTAACATTTTTTAATTTGACAACAGTCCCATTCTCAAGTTTTAGACAGATGTCACCAATACCATGGACCTTACACCTTTTACTATCAGCTAGGGAAACAAAACCAGTTTCAGTCAAGTGATAGAAAGAAAACAGATTTCTAAAAGGGGTCATATGGTAGGTACAACCTGAGTCAATTAACCATTCAGTTTCAGTCAAACTACTGAGCACAGAATTAGCTTGATCACAGACCATGAACACTTCTTCACTAATTTATTTATTGGTCACAGAGTTGGCCTGTTCATTTCTTTTGGGTTGGGTACAATCCTTTATGAAATGACCTGGGTTCCCACAGTTATAACACACTCTTTTCTGAGACTTATACCTTTTCTTACCAGGTTGTCTACTGTTTTTATCTTGGTTATCCTTCCTAGGATGCCTAGACCTACTCTTAGATTTGCCCCTGACAAAGAAGGCTTCACCAGATTCCTTAGAGTGATTGCTATGACCCCTAGAGTGTTTTAAGTCTAGCTCTTTGCTTTTCAAACCATTAATTACAATATCTAGGGTTATCTCATCCCTCCCATATTTAATGGCAGACTTAACATCATTGTAGGAATCTGGAATGTCATTAAGAAGGACAAGGAGTATAGTCATCTATATGTTTATCCCCAGTCTGCTTAATATTTTGAATCAACTTATGAAAAATATCAAGATTTTCCTCAATGTCTTTAGTTAGGTCAAGCCTAAATCTAAAGAATTTTTCCAGTAAAAACAATTTCCCAGGTAAGGAGGTATCAGTGTAAAGAGTTTCAAGTTTACCCCACAGACCCTTACCGGACTCTAAGATTCCAATTTTTCTAAGAACAGAGTCAGACAAGTTAAGGTATATAGTTACACAGGCTGTTTCATTCATTTCAACTTGTTTAGGTTTATCCTCAGATTCTAGAAACTGACCAGTAACTGCCCTATAAACTTTCTATTGGATTAACACACATCTTATCTTCTGTTTCCATATATCGAAGTCAGTCTTACCATTAAAAGGCATCATACCATATAGGGTTGAAGCCATGATAACAGTCAACACCCAAACAACCGAATGACAGGTAATATAAAAGCTTAACCCTAGAGGTTCAGGCAGCAAACTAAGAGACCAGGCACTTCCGGAGCCTCTAAAGAGGCTGGCAGGGTATCCCTTAGCCCTAACCTCAGGTGCCTTAGCCAACTAGGGGGTCAAAGTTACACTATTACCAGAATTCAGACAAGAGGGTAGGACAAGACAGACTTGAGCAGAGAAATAATAATTAACACAACACTAATAAGGCAAGCTACAACAATGCCGAGGGATGTTCAGAGGAAAATAGCACAAGAGGGGGTGGCAAATTAAAGATACACACAAGAAGATAATTCAATCAAAGTTCACATATAACCGGTGGCCAAGTTCGACACAGATTGGACCACTCATGCACAATCGAACCACACCTAGGGTTTATACAGATCTGTACTAACATATACTGTACATGCAAGGTTTTCTAGGGTTTCTACTCGGTAGATTGTTGCTCAGAGAGAGCAAATCTACCCATGCAGCACAGAATCCGGTGGCACTCCGTCAGCCCAAAGGTTAGGGTTTAAGCTATTATACCTGAGCGGGTGTCTAGGAGAGACCACCCGACTTACCAACTTCGACGAGGCTTCAGTCGTTGTCGGTGTGGGAGTTTTCCGGCGAGCTTCCGGTGTCAGCGAGAGGCAGCAACATCCAGGCTCTGATACCACTGTTGAGATTCCGGACCGGCTCAGACCTCGATCACCATAGCCCAAGGGCTTGCTCACATTCACCACCAAGGTTGCAATAGGGAAACTGAAGGGCAACGATCAACTACCCCTCTCACAGAACCCAAGTCCCAACCCAGAAGCCCCACCAGAGAAGTAACCCACCACACAACCAGACCAGAGTGAAGACCCCCCAAAGGAACCGCAAAGTGTCACCGGAGTATAGCCGGAGCTAAAGCTCAGATAAGACTGGTACTCTCCCACTCTAGGTCTAGGGAAACTGACTGAGAGACTCATCGTTTAGAGAGAAGGAGGAACGAAAGAAATAGGGGGTTCGAGAAGCAACCACACAAATATATCAAAAGGGCCACAAGGTCACGGGATGGGCATAAAACAAGGAAAGGGGAATGAGTTTGGTTGCTGGACAGCCCATAAATGGGCCAGGGCATTTAATAGGAGACCAACTCCTTAAATGAGGTGGACCAAGAATAATAATGGGATGGCCTAGGTGTATGAGGTGGACCAATACCAACAACAGTCCCAAAAATATGAAAATTTTCTTAAATTGAATTTCATTAACTTTTTTTTTCTCACTTTATTTCTTTATGTATCATTTCATTCTTTACTTTTTGTGGATCCATTTTTCTCTTTCGTGCGTACTTTTTGTAGGTTAGAATTGTAAAACAACCACTTTATCCTTTATTTTCTTAAATCTTGCACCAAACTCACATGCAACTTACATAATGGGACGAAGGTAGTACTATATAAATTTGTGTCATAGTCACTTACGTCTAAAAACGAACATAAGTTATTGTTGCTAAAATTATTATTGTTGTCACGTTTTTGTAAACAGTCTTGTTTAGTCATAAAAATGTAATTATTTCTATTTTAATTACACAACTTTTGTAATCTTGTTTGTAACTTTTTATTTTCTCACTTTATTTCTTTATGTATCATTTCATCCTTTACTTTTTGTGGATCCATTTTTCTCTTTCGTGCGTACTTTTTGTAGGTTAGAATTGTAAAATAACCACTTTATCCTTTATTTTCTTAAATCTTGCACCAAACTCACATGAAACTTACATAATGGGATGAAGGTAGTACTATATAAATTTGTGTCATAGTCACTTACGTCTAAAAACGAACATAAGTTATTGTTGCTAAAATTATTGTTGTCGTCACATTTTTGTAAACAATCTTTTTTAGTCATAAAAATGTAATTATTTCTATTTTAATTACACAAATACATCATATTAATTTCACTATACGCAATTTAAAGTTGTATATGCAACCAAATATTTCAAGTATTATTTACCAAGATTTTTTTTTCTAAAACACCTTCTTACCAATATAATTACAAGTCTATTTTTGCTGGTCTGTTATACCAAGTATATGAACTTATTAAATTAACAAGGCAGGCATTAATGATTTAATGAAATGGACGCCATTATAGAATACCATTAAACCTTAATTATATCCAATCCTGATATACAATTAGCCGCGTAATTGTGGGTACATGCATTAAATGGCATGACAATTCTTATAAGGTGTAATGTTAAAACCATTGGCAACTCCTTACACCATCATCTTCATCATAATCACATTGTGTCATTACTATATATTGCAACCTATCCATTTCTTGAGGCTCCCAGCAGAAAATGCATTCAAAGCTTTTCACCAAATCCATGATTTTCAAAAAGTGAACTACCTGCTGGAGCTTTTGAAAGCAAAGGATAAGCAAAAAGATTAGTGCTTTAACACCCATTCCTCCAATTCTTCTTTTAAAAGTGAGATTTTCACCCCTTCCTCCTTTATTTTTTTATCCATGCAGGTGTTTATATCTTGTTCTTTTTGTTTTTTTGGATACCTGTCCTAAACTTGGAATTACTTTTTCAAGAATTCAACTTGCTAATCAAATTTGGCTTTGATACAACCCTTATTCTGACTTTCTTGAATACTTGTTTATTTTGTAATGTTAAAGAAAGTGTGTTTTTACTTTTTTTATCTTGTCAAAAGCTTCAACTTAAAATGATGAAGAAATCAGTGTCAGACAACAACTTCTACATAGACAATGAGGAAGAGGTGAGAGAGGAGGGGAAATGTGAAGATGGCAATGAATCTGATGTTTCTTCAAATTACTCCAATGACAATGAGGTTTATGAGCACCACCATAGCAAACCCAATTCCTTCAACAATGCTTGGCCTCAAAGTTACAGGTCAGATTTTCCACATCATCTTTGGGCTTTGGCTATGTTTGGATCCTAAGGAAAACTGTAGGGAAATGGAAAAAGATGTCAACCTAACTGTTTTCTGAGTTTGGACTTATCATAGTAAATGCGGAGAAAGATAAAACATGATTACTGTTTTTAATTTTTTGCATGTTTAGATTTCTTAGTCATTATAATAAGAGAAATAACAATTAAAAATGAATTTCAATAAATATTTAAAAAAATGAGTTTGAAGCAATGTTTTAATTTCCTTAACAGTTTTTTCTTCCAAATTGCTCTAATATTTTCCTTTCTACTTTGATATTTTCTATTCCTATCATTTTCCCATTCCAAATGGATCTTGATTATTTTAATTTTCAAAATTTTCAAGAACATTGATAGAATTCATAATTGTGTTGGAATCACTAAAATGTGACATAATGCCACCATAACAGATTATATTAAATCTAACTAGTACAGTGTATAAAGGCCTTTTATAAGTTCATTTGTCTCCTTTTAATATATTGAAATGGAAATCTTGCAGGCAATCAATGGATCTTTACAGCAGTATACCATCTCCAAGTCTTAACCTTCTGGGGACACCCATTAGGAGCATAACAAGCTCATTTCTTCTTTCTTCTTCATCACTCTCAAGGAGGCACACACCTGAGACATTGCCTTCATCAGTTCATAAACAACCACTTTTACCATCAAAAGAACATCGTCATCATCATAATCATGACCAGAAGCCAGGGCACAGTTCTTCACAAGCTTTCCTCCCCCCTCTTACACCATCCGAGGCTTCTTCTTTCCTACAGAGGGGCGCATCAGAAGCCAAACACTCTACAGAAGTTCCCATTTCTCTGCAGAAGAGCACGTATGGACAAGCAGTACTCAACGGTATCGTTCTTCATTGGCTTTATGTGACTATTTATAACTATATTAGAGCAAGCATTTCAATGCAATAACTCAAAGTAACTAAGTCATCACATATTTCTTAAAGTATAAGAAAACCAATATGTTTAACTACTTCTACTATCAAATCTATCATGTTTGGTTGATACAAATCAAATCTTAAGAATCTCCAGACATTGGTTTTCAGAATGTGGTTACAGATTTCATTTTAGAAGTTCATTCTAATATGAGAACTAGCATAAGGTCTTAAATGAGCCCTGCTAATATTTTTTTTTTGTTCTCACGTCATACACCCCTTACAATTCGATATCTCATTTGGATCTCACGGTTTTTTTCAAATGGTGCATTCCCCACAAACCGAGACATCATATGAACTGTGCATCTTTTTCATGGGGCCCACACCATATGGATCGGGGTTCGATCCTACTAAAAGATCAATCTCATATGAGGAGTAACCACATTCAGATTTAAATGTATCAAACAAGATTTTTGAATTGAACTGACATACATGTTACTCATATGTTTGTGTTGTTCCATAACAGGTATGAATGTTTTATGTGGAGTAGGAATCCTTTCGACTCCTTATGCTGTTAGACAAGGCGGGTGGAGTGGGCTTTCTGTACTATTTCTCTTTGCTGTAATTTCGTACTATACTGGCATTCTTCTTCGTCACTGCTTGGACAGCCAACCGGGACTGGAGACTTATCCTGATATTGGACACGCTGCATTTGGTCCCACCGGACGGATACTTCTTTCTGTAAGTATCTTTCACTTCAATCAAAAGAGTTAATGAAGGTGTTAAGCATACTAGTAGCATAGACAAGAGATTATTACTCCCTGCTGACTTTGGTTTGTTTGGCTTTCATGTTTTGCTGATGCAGATTTTTTTGTATGTAGAGTTATATGTAAGTACAACCATCACCTTTTTCAAGTCTTCACACATATATTGTTTTTGTTAAGCTGTCTCACATCAATATAATTTATAGATTAATACCAACATTCAAGGGGTTGTCAACTTGTCGGGCTATTCCTTCTAATTGTATTTGTGCTCTCTACTCACAGGCATGTTGTATCGAATATATAATATTGGAAGCCGATAACTTGTCATCTTTATTTCCAAATGCATATTTGAGTTTAGGAGGAGTACGTTTAGATGCACACCACCTTTTCGCGTTGATAACAGCGGTTGTAGTTCTCCCTACTATGTTTCTCCGGGATCTCACCCTCCTTAGTTATATCTCAGGTGAGTGTCTCCATTCTTCCATTCGGATTAAACAGGAAAAGTGATTGTTCAATACTTAATTAGAGGTTTACTTATCAGCATTGAAAATTCGTTTAGTGACGCTAAAATTGGCTGCTGAAACTGCTGAAGTTAGTAATTGAATTGGCGTAATCTGCTCAATTATAACAAGAAAACATATTTAGAATAGTTTATTATAGAATATTTAGAATAGTTTATTATAGAATAAAGAAAAATTATATGATCAAAAGTTATAATGACCCGCTTCAACAAAACCAACCGATTGCGCCAACAATATAAAATGCACCCTCAACATACTTTTTTCACTGTTGATCACCTCAACGCGTAAAATTGTGATATAAGTGTTTGGTAGAAAGCTGATGAGACAAGAAACAAAGTTACCAAATCTTTGTGATTTTCCAGCCGGGGGAGTGGTGGCATCTGTGTTGGTAGTTTCATGCCTGTATTGGGTTGGTTTGGTGGATCATGTCGGCTTTGAAAGCAAACCAACATCAATGAATCTCTCCACATTTCCAGTTGCCATAGGTCTGTATGGTTATTGTTACCAAGGGCATGCTGTTCTTCCCAACATATATGCATCTATGCAAAAACGGAACCAATTTCCCGCTGTCCTCTTAACCAGGTTTCCTTAATCCTAATATGCAGACACTTAGATCATGTTAACCATTGTAAAAACATTGTTATAATGAAAAAAAAAACAAATTTCATTATGTGTATATGCAGCTTTGGCATAGTGACCTTGATGTACATTGCAACGGCTGTGATGGGCTATATGATGTTTGGAGATTCAGCAGAATCACAGTTCACTCTAAACATGCCTACTGAATTAGTTGCCTCCAAAGTAGCTGTTTGGGCAACGGTAAACCTACTACTAAACACAAACTAGTTTTCCTCTTAAAGAAATGATTTGTAATAAAGTACATGGTTATAACCGAGTAACCGACTCTTCTTTGGTTTCTTGCAGGTTGTTAATCCATTAACAAAATATCCTTTATCACGATATTCTAGATAAATTATTAAGTCATCGCACATCAAGCAAATAGAAAATACAAAACAATGTATATGGTCTTGGTTTCTCCTTCTATAAGGTGGACACAATTACTTAATTAACCAAATGACTAACTTTATGGGCATAATTACATTGAACAAGTGGAATGGATCAAATAATTTATGTTGGGCATAGCTGATGAGTTAATAAACTCAAGGAAATGGTAAGGTTGTCATGGACTTCAACACGCTTGTATAAAACCGCCCCTCATACAGCTGTCAAGAGCTTTGCTTATGCTTATCAATAAACCCAAGTTCTTTCCTTAATGAGATATACATATGCACTGACCATGTTGCCAGTGGCTATGAGTCTAGAGGAACTGACCCCATCTGGCCAAACCAAATCCCATTTGTATTCAATCTTTATTAGAACGGCGTTGGTGATATCTACCTTGATCATCGGTCTATTGATCCCGTTTTTCGGTAAGACTAACATTGTTATTGCAGTAGTTTTGAAGATATTTTTCATATTAAGATGTGATGTGCTTTGACTTTTATTATTTTTCACATTTACTGCAAATGTATTGCTTAGACATTAGTAAATTAATTGCCTTTATTTTTACCTACATGCAGGCCTAGTCATGTCCCTCATTGGATCTTTACTTACAATGCTAGTTGTAAGTCCCTTAGCTTACCTTTTCCAATTCAAACATTTCTTTTTTATTTTGTTACCCTAAACCATATAATATTGATATTTTTTTTGTAAAATTTACAGACTTTAATATTTCCTTGTGCTTGCTATATGAGTATTGCCAAGGGGAAAATTGGCTATGTTCAGGTATTGACAATATATAGCACTAACAAGTAACACACTAGTTTGCTTCTCTTTATGGAGGTTAACTTTTCCTGTTTTCTTTTTCAGGCATCAGCTTGTGTATTTATAATTGGAGTAGGTGTTGTATTTGCAGTTTTTGGAACCTATTCTGCCATTTCTGGAATCAATCAGAGTTTGAGAAGTTGAGCTGATGACTGTATGGTCAATGTTTTAATATATTCTAATGGATTCCTATTTTTCGTTTTAATTTAAGTTATTCTGTTAATGTTTACTTCAAATCTTTTCCAACCGTTGTTGCACTTTTTGCCCAAGAGTCCTCAGTGATTTCTTGTTTTTTTTCTCCCATTAAATGTTTGTAAAAGTAATCTCCCTAAGTAACATTTTAACCTTTTTACTAATCGGGGCCTAGCTCACCCGTATGAAGGGATGCCACAAAGAAGAGATCTCGGGTTCAATTTCAAGCAAAGACTTGGAATTAAATTCAACTCTCTTTCAATTAATGTATGATCAAAGCTCAATTTACATTCTCCCAATAACTATCCAATCGATTCTGGAGCCTCAGGATAGGGTGTCATCCTTTTTAACCTATTTAACCCTTTTACTTGCAGTTTTTTAACCCTTTTACTAGGAGTTTGTACATACAATGGATAGGCAAATTAGGTGCAAATATTAAAACATTGTGAAATGGAGTTTTTTTAAGCCTTTTTTTAACCTATGTTTATGTCTACAAAATCATTATATACTCACACTTTGCATTCCATTTTTTAGTGACATTTGATTTTACAATCTATTTTCAAAACCATTAATGTATACTCCTGATTTCACCATATACTCATTTGACTCTGCAATCCACTTTTTCACAAATTTTGAACAAATTAGGTGCAAATATTAATGATTGTGAAATGAGATTCAAAATTGAATATATAGCTCAAAACATTGTGAAAGTGCAGTTGTGTTTAAGAGTAACCACAATTACTTCAAAAATAATTGACTTAAATAGGAGTAAGAATAGAACTTTTCCCTAAATAGATGTTCAGTTGTTCACTACTAATCTTCTCCAAATATCAGTGAACATACATTTTCTTCCCCTAATATCTATATTCTTATTAATTAATTACCCCTACTTGCCTTGGGCAACCAGGGAAGTCCATTCATGGCGAGGCAGTCCGGTGGTGACGGGGCAGACCAATGGCGGTGGAGATGGCGGCAGTTGGCGGTGGTGGCAATGGGCATGGCTAAATGCTAATCACAAGAAACTCTTTTTTTGGGAATTTTTAAACTTCTACTCCTATTTTTGTAATTTTTAACATGTTTTATTCCTAAATGGGAAATTATCTTACTCTCTCTGTCCCGCTAAGATTGTACCATTTTACCTTTTGATCCGTCCCACTAAAATTATCATATATCAAATTTGATAAAGTTTGTGTGACTCTAAGGGGTACGGTGTCCCCAATATGGATTCTGGATGAAGAATTCTGTCACAATTTGGGTGTCGCCGATTTGGATTTATGTGGAATCTATGAAGATCAGAGTGTCCTCAAACATTCCATTTTTATTACTCCGTATTACTTATTTAGATGGATTTTAATGAATTTTGGTGGATCTCTGTATACAAAAACATTTCACCACAATCTTGTAGACTCCCATCGGATTTCAAAATAAATGATCCTTTAAAATCCATCAAAATCATAATTGGAGACACCCCCTCAATCATTTTGGCAGTGTTCTTACTTTATCAATTCAAAATCAACCACATAAACCACTTGTTATTAATTTGTGTGTCACTCTCTTCTGTCCCGTTATTACCGAGAAGAAGGGAGTAGTATTTTTATTATTGAAAAAGAAACTCCACTTCCAATCTTCCATGTTCCACCGGCCTTCGATGCATCGTTGCCGCTGCATCTACTCACTCGACCACCACCATCATACAATGGCCGCCCCAAACCGAATTCAACCACCACCGTCATACAATGGCCGTCCAAACCGAATTCGACCACCACTGGCATTATATTGATGTAAATGGCAAATAGTTAATCCAAGATATAAGGAGTGTTTGGATCTTATTCTTAAAATCGATTCTCCTCCTTCAGGGAGTAGATCCAGAAGTTGGAGTGTTTGGGTGAAAGTGCAGAAGTACTTCTGGTACTCTAAGGATGTTTTTATTTGGACCGTAATTCGTTCCAGACCAGATCAGACCAGACCAGATCAGACCAGATCAGACCAGATCAGACCAGATCAGACCAGACCAGACTTGAATAGTTATAAAAATACAAAGAAACCAGACCAGACCAGACTAGTTTAGACCAGACCAGACCAGCAAATTATAGTCCAAGTAAACACATTTCTCAAAACTGATTGATTCTACTTTTGTGAAAGAAAAAAAGCAGAAGCAGAAAATCAAACGATTCCCACTCAAAATAGAATCTTCCCGAATTTTTGCATCGACTGAGCCATTCGAAAACAGTAGTAGTACCACACAAAATCACTGAAAATTCTCCAACATGTCTGATTCTTTACAAACATCTCCGGCCAGCAGCATAAGCTATTTATTACGCGCAAAACCCCCTTCCTGTTTCCCCAATCCCAAGCTGATTGGAGCGAATTATTGGTCCGCAAATGTTGTTTCTATTTTTTCTATTAAAACCCATTCTGGAGGAGAAAAATTCGAAGCTTTAGCCAAGTATGACGAAGAAGGGTCCGTTTATAGCTTCCACGATTCGCCGGCGTCGATAGATTTGCTGCCTATTTCCACTGAAGATCAGTTCGACCTGGTCGTCTCCCATGAAGCAGTAATCGTTCTATGGTACGTTTTATACGGACTTAAGTTTTAGATCATGTAAATCTCCTTAGCTGCAAACTTAAATCTCTCCCCCCTACAGTAAAGTTTGGATTTTTACCTTATGTGTTTTTAATTCTTATGGAGGAGGGTTTCGAATTGCAAAATGGTTTTCCAATGGCTGTTCAGATGAAGAAAGTGGAAGTAGAGATTTTGCAGTCTGTGGTTTAGGAAATCTTTTAGGTCCGTTTGGGTGTTTGGAACCTTGAGAATACTAGGGAAAGAAATCAGGGAGGAAACCATAGGTAAGAAGTAGATTGTGGAGAAAATAATACTCTTCATTACATCCAAATTCAATAGGTTTGTTTTATATATCTGCTCAGACTCATTGTATTCTATATTTACATAAAAATTAATCTTTTTAATTTTCCTTTGCATTTACAAAAGCTAAAACGAAAGTTAAGAAACTAACCTTCCTTTGCAATTTATTTTCCTTTCCCTCTCATTTTCCAGGACTCAATCATAACCTTAGGCTATAATAGCTTGTTGACTTGAAATGTGTAGATTTCTTTTAACATTGTTTTTTAGGTATATGAGAAGTTGCAGTTCTAGCTTGATGTTTTGTATTTACTCTGTTGATTAATGTCATTTTCCCATTGTATTATGTAAGAATTTAAAAGTGGATTGTCATTATAAAGAAGCCGTTTGGGTTTCCAGGATGGCAAGTTGGTGCAGGAAATGTATATTTTTGAAACCAAAATTGGAGAAATTAGCTGCCGAGTATAACCCAAGGTTAGGAATCTCTCTTTACTGAATCAGTAAATTTCCTCCAGCATTAACCTTATCTCTTCCTCAATCATCATTTCAAGTTGCTTCATAAGGACTTATGTTTCATTTCATCCCAGCCCTTTTCTCCTTATGGAGTTATGGCTCGAATTAGTGCCTGTTTGCTTAGTGTAATTTCACACAATCGGCAAATTTGCTAAATTCTCTGAAAGTAAAAGTGTCTCATAACAGTGATTTCAGTTAAATGTTTCAAGTAAAAAACTAAGGAGTACTTATTATGCCTTAGTCTCCTGCTAATCAAAATAAGCCGAATGAAGCTACCAAACGGGGTCTACTATTTGAGCTGAATCTTCTGTTCCATATTGTGTTGCAGTCTACGATTTTACAGTGTTGACGTTAATAATGTTCCACACAAGCTTGTTGTTCGTGCTGAAGTCACTGTAAGCTTCTCCCCTTCTTTATGTCCTAGTGTAGCTCTTACATTCAGTGTTTGGGAAATCTGATTAGTGTTTTGTGTTATTTACATTTCCATGTAAATCTATGAAAACCAATGTGCTTGGGAAAAATGCAGAAAATGCCGACAATCCAGGTAATATATTTTTGAAAGGAAATTGATCGATCTTGAACGGTATATATGTGATACAAGATGGTTTTATCAATTGAGACATCGTATTGTATGCAACAGCTGTGGAAGGATGGGAAGAAGCAAGGTGAGGTGATCGGTGGGCACAAAGCACATTTGGTTGTTAATGAAGTTAGGGAAATGATTGAAAGTGAAAGTAGTTCTTGGTAATCTTTGAAGCATTATAACTCCATAAAGCTCACATTTCGCCGTTTCAGAACTCAAAAGCTTCAAATCCTCCCTTCGGTGTCGTTTCCTTATCCATAATTGTAAAGAACTGGGTAATACGTTTCCCTATTTAAGTTTCCCTATTTAATTAACATTTTACTTGGGTCTCCATTTTTAATGCGATTTTTTAATGGAACTTAGGCTATGTTTGACACAACTAGCTGAAAAGATATTTTTGAGAGCTTTTTAATAACTGTTAGCTTTTAGTGACTGAAAGATCTTAAAGAGAAAAGATGATAGCTGTTTGGTAAAAAGGTGATTGTTTGATTTAGTTCGGTTTGGTATACAAGCTGTTAAGACTGATTAACACTAAAAGTCACGAGTTTTTTTCAGATGCTACTCCCTGTAGCATCTCAAAAAAGATCTTTTAATTTTTGAAAACCTCATAAAAATTGTCATGCCAAACATATAACATGAAGCTTTTAGAGACTTTTTGAACAGTACAAAAGCTAAAAAGTAGAGACTTATGTCTACCAAATATAGCCTTAGTCTCTTTCTATGAGGTTCATTATGTACTTTTGATGGACTTTTTTATGTAAAATTTTCATAGTAACAAAATCTTTGTGATCTTTCGTAGCTGGATGCCCAGAAACATGTTGCGTGTTACTTTTGATCTCTGTTCTAAAAATCGTTCTAGGCGTCCGATCAGTCCCCGCCTAGGTGCTATGCAGTGGTCTGGCGCCCCGATTTTTGTCTAGGCGCTCCGACTAATTGGTTAGCCGTTTGGATGAATTAGTCAGCCGCCTATGGCACCTAGTTGCCTGCCTAATCGGTCGCGCGTCTAGGTCGTCTAGATTCGCCGAACATTACTTTACTTTTTAATTTTAAATTTCTAAGCGCTATACGTACTTTAACGTTAGCCATGAATATAAAGATATGAAGTTGTAAATTAAGATAAACCTATATATGCTTGTACATATATCCAAATTTTATCATTATTTATATTTATAACATAATAAAGTTAACTGGTTAGTTATCATATATTACCTATGATTAAATGCGATAATTTTATCATTCATGTTTGTTAATGTATATGTATATATATTTTTATACACACAAAAATACAATATTACTTATAATATTTATGCAAAAATATAGATAAAAATGCAATTTCTATGTTCCGACTAGTTCCAATAATTAGTTACTTACAAAGAAAAAAAATTTAGATTTTAAACAAATAAATTGAAAAGTGGAAGTTGTAAACGTAACTTAGCTTGTATTCTCTTCTCTCTAGAGAGAAACCTAGTGGCTGTGAAGCCGTCTCCCCTCTTTGTAGGGGTTGAGATTTTCTGCCGCCCCTATCAATATGGGGTTGGAGTGGCAAATTATACTGATTTTAAATGTTCTAACGCTTGGGATTGCAATTACGTCGAAGGAGATAGCGTTGGCGGATGAACGAAGTACGACTGAGAGGTTGTATCGAGATTGGATCGTGAAGCCTTGGTCAGTCATTTCGGCGGTGGTGGAGTTGGTATTCACCCATATTGCAAGAAATCATCCTCCTCCGGAACTACCTCCATACCAGGGAATGCTTTGTGAAAAGATTTTATTTCAATATTATTCTCTTTACTTGCAATTGTTATCGTTTCAGTCCGAGTAGATTTGGTTTGAATGTTTGGATTTTTGGAGTTCTTTTGATAGACAAAGTTTCGGTTCCATTCGCTTTAGGCTTATGTTTGCCCGTTTCCGGTTTGCGAGTCATGTTGCTTTGTATGAGGTGACTGACTCTAAGTCTACTCCTAGAGTTCACGATTGGATCTGTAATTTCTGTCTGAAGATTGTCTTGTATGTGTTTTTTAATTTAATATAACGGTCGCTCTTTTATGATCAAAAAAAATGTTCCGACTAGTCCCCGACTAGGCCCCCGCCTAGACACTAGGCGCTAGGCTGTCGCCTGACTAGCGCCTAACGCCTTTTAGAACATTGCTTTTGATCAAGTACTTATATAGTAGTATGTGAATAGCTTCTATATTTGAACACGTAAACTATTTTTATCTTTGGTTATGTTGCAAAGTTTTATGAAGATTTTATGTACTCTAAAATATATGAAAACAATATGTACAAATATGTATATGAATACCTATTTATAAACATATCCCTATATTTTCTTATTTATGTGTTTTCCCCACCTTTGGTATTGTTTTCTCAAATATTGTGTCCTGTTTTATGTTCTACTCACAAAATATTACTCTGCATATAATAATGTCCATGGTCAATTACACCCCTCCCCCAGCCCTCTCAATGCTTTGATAGAGACATTGGAGATACGTCTATTAAATATTGTAATAAGGTGTATAAAAGAAGGAATAAAAAGGGGTAGCGAGTTAGTTAATTAGCCCATTAACTAATTAGTATTCTATCCCTGCGGGAATATTGATATAAATAGAAAGTGAGCAGCTAAATAAGGCAGATTGTTATTTCTGTTGGCTTCGGCTTTGGAGATTTGGGCTTCTCGAACAGTCCTGAGATTACGCATCTACCATTGGTATCAGAGAGAAGATCCTGTGCCGCGAAATTGAGTTACAGTTGACGTTTCTCGTGGTGAATGGTTCGTACGAGAGCAAAAATGGATATACGTATGGATACTGTGGAACGCAAGTTAATGGAGGTTCAAGCGGAAATGAAGGAGGAGTTACAATCCGCTGTGAATGACCAGCGATCAGCGCTGGAAAATTTGGCGGCAACATTGACGTCATCCATGGCTGCGTTGAGTGAGCAGTTTCGATCCAGAGAGAGATCACGCTCACCACAACAACAGCCGGCGAGACTTGATAACATTCCAATTAATTCCGGAGGTAATCCGAATCCTTATCACCTTCAGCCGCACAGAATACATGAAGATTTGAATAGATTTACTGTTCAAAATGGGAGAAAGATTGATTTACCTGTTTTTACGGGAGATGATGCTTATAATTGGATTGTACGCATGGAGAGATATTTTCGTATGAATCGTATCACTGAGGAAGAACAGGTGGAGGCAGCCGTAGTGGCGATGGAGGGTAGAGCTATTAATTGGTTCATATGGTGGGAACACCAAACTGACAGGAGAAACTGGGACACTTTAAAAGCAGCTTTGATCCGTAGGTTCCAACCAGATCTGATACAGAACCCATATGGCCCAATGTTGAGTTTAAAACAACTTGGAACAATGAGGGAGTTCAAAGATGAGTTTGAGTTGGTGATAGCACCTCAGATAAATGTGGACATGGGTATCCTAAGAGGAATTTTCATCAATGGGTTGAAGGAAGAGATTAAGGCTGAGCTGAAATTACATAACTCTAATTCTCTTGTTGAGGTGATGGACAGGGCTCTACTGATGGAGAGTAGAAATGAAGCTATTTACTTGAGAAGAAAAGAAGAGGACAAACTTTCATGGAAGGAGAAGGGTCCTATAACTTCAAAATCTCAGGCATGGTTTGATGGGTTTAAATCCAAACCGGGAAACTCAGGACCCTCCAACACAGGGAAAACTGCAGTTGATAGCAAAAGTAACCCAACATGGAGTAATACAGTAGGGACTAAGATAACAGAAATCCATCCTTCTGGAATCAAGAGAGTGGGACCTCAGTTATCAGAAGATGAATACCAGGAAAGGAGCATAAAAAGGTTATGTTTCAAATGTGGGGAGAGGTGGAACAGAGAGCATACTTGCAAACTTAAAAATTACAAGCTCATTTTGGTTGAAGATTCAAAGGGGAAAATGAACCTGAAGAACCAGAGGTGGAAATCCAGGAGGAAGAGGAGACTGTCATGGAATCAAAATCCATGCAACTCTCACTCATGAGCAAGGAAGGTATACCTTCAATGAGGACTTTTAAAGTAAGAGGTTATCTGAACTGGGGTCAGAAGAACCAGCCTGTGGAAGTACTCATTGACAGTGGGGCATCACATAACTTCATATCTCACAGATTAGTGGATCAATTATCCATACCTTATAACATTATTTCTGCTTATAAGGTCCAAATTGGCAATGGAGAACTGATATATAACAATGGGAGGTGTGAAAAACTGAACCTGCAATTACAAGACACAGAAATTCAGCAAGATTTCTACATATTAGACCTGGGAGGTACTGATCTAGTATTGGGCATGGAGTGGCTGACTGGTTTGGGTGATGTGGAGATCAATTTTCTTAAGCAGAGTATCAAATGGGAGGAGAAGAAGAAGCAGCAAAGGATTCAAGGAAACCCTCATTTAAACTCCCTTGAAATCTCTTTGAAAACTCTAACAAAAATCTTACAAGATGCTGGGGATGGTTATTTGATGTACTGTGTGGGACAGGCAGAGACAATCAAAGAAAATCAGAAGAATGAAGCAATATGGGAATAGGGTTGGACTCGGGCCGGGTGGCCCGACCCGGAACCGGCCCGGGACCGGCACTGTTCCGGCCCGGCCCGAACCGGTGGCCTGGTCAGTGACCGGTCCGGGTAGGCCCGACCCGGTGGGTTTCCGGTCCGGGCTCGAGTCACCCATAACAAGGCTCGGCCCGGCCGGGCCCGGTTCGGGCCATTTTTTTTTTGGTTTTTTTCATTTGTTTGGGCTCCACCGGGTTGGGCTTGATGTTTAGGAGGGGTTTGGGGGGTGGGGGGGTGAGGGGGGGGGGGTCAGGGATGGGTAGCTAAGCAAAAAAAAAAAAATTAACCAAACCCGAGGCCCGGCCCGAGTCCAACACTATATGGGAAGAAATTTTGGCTGAGTTTCCTGAAGTCTGTCAGCCTTTGAAGCAGCTACCTCCCAGTAGAAGTTGTGACCATACCATCAACATTCAAGAATGAGCTTGCATTCCAAATATAAGGCCTTATAGATACCCTCAATATCAGAAGAATGAGATTGAAAGAATTATCAAGGAGATGTTGGCAGAAGGGATAATTCAGAACAGTAACAGTCCATACAGCAGCCCTATTCTTCTAGCTAAGAAGAAAGATGGGGGATGGCGGTTTTGTGGAGATTATAGAGCCTTAAACAAAATCACTATCCCAGACAAGTTTCCTATACCAATAATAGAAGAATTATTGGATGAGTTGGGTGAAGCCAGAGTTTTTTCTAAGCTGGATCTTAAATCTGGATACCATCAGATCAAAATGAAGGAAGAGGATAGACACAAGACAGCTTTCAGGACCCATGAAGGGCATTACGAATATCTGGTGATGCCATTTGGGCTCACAAATGCACCATCTACCTTTGAGGCTTTAATGAACCAGGTACTGAGGCCATTTCTAAGAAAGTCCGCACTTGTATTTTTTGATGACATTCTGATCTACAGCAATTCCTTGGAAGAGCACCAAGTACACTTGAGGAGGGTACTCACAGCTTTAAAGGAAAATCAGTTGGTGATAAACTTAAAAAAATGTTCATTTGGACAATCTGAATTGGTTTATTTGGGTCATATAATATCAGAAAAAGGGGTATCAGCTGATCCTACCAAGATTGAAGCTATGATGAAGTGGCCTGTACCTAAAGATTTGAAAGGAGTGAGAGGATTTCTGGGGTTGACCCGGGTATTACAGGAAATTTGTAAGAGGTTATAGTAGGATTGCTTTTCCTCTTACACAGTTGTTGAAGAATGATGTATTTTCATGGAATCTGGAAGCAGATCAAGCTTTTAATGAATTGAAGAAGATCATGACTACGTGTTGGCTACTCCAGATTTCAATAAAACATTTGTGGTAGAGACTGATGCATCAGGAACAGGTCTGGGGACAATTTTGATGCAAGAAGGGAGGCCAGTTGCTTATATGAGTAAGCAATTATCATCCAGAAATCAGCAGAGGTCTGTATATGAAAGGGAGCTTCTGGCTATTGTTCTAGCAATACAGAAGTGGAGACCTTATTTACTGGGCAGGCATTTTGAAGTTCATACTGATCAGAAAAGTTTGAAATTCCTTACTGAACAAAAGCTTATGGGAGAAGAACAACAGAAATGGACCTCCAAGTTATTGGGCTTTAATTTTTCCATTAAATATAAGCCTGGTGTAGAAAACAAGGCTGCATATGCTTTATCCAGAAGACCAGTTTTACATTCATTGTCAATTGTTAATTGCCAAGAATGGGAGGGACTAGAAGAAGAATTAAGCAAAGATCCAAAAAGTAAGGAACTCATTAAGAAAATTATTTCTTATCCAGACAGACACAAAGAATTTCAGATCATTAAGGGCTTATTATATTACAAAAGAAGGTTGGTGTTACCAAAAGGATCAACAAGGGTTTTTAAAATACTGAAAGAATACCATGATTCAGCTGTGGGAGGACACTCGGGATATTTCAGGACAATGAAGAGGGTTGAAAGTTTGTTTTATTGGCCAGGCATGAGGAATGATATCAAAAAATATGTGGCAGTGTGCCATCTGCCAAACCAACAAGTATCAAACTCTTAAACCTAGTGGTTTATTACAACCACTGCCCATTCCAAACAATATCTGGACAGATATTAGTATGGATTTCATTGGAGGGTTGCCAAAATCTCAAGGGAAGGACACTATATTGGTAGTTGTTGACAAGTTTACTAAGCTTGCTCACTTTATAGCCCTATCTCATCCATTCAATGCGAAGGAGGTGGCTGAAGTATTCACCAAAGAAGTAGTCAAACTGCATGGTTTCTGTTGAAGATCATTTAATTGTGAATCAAGTTTGTCATCTATCTTGTAATAGATTAGCTTTATTATTATTCCTTGTATTAAATATGTGCATTTATTAGATTGAATATGGGCCAAGTGTTAGGCCCATACAACAGGCTAAAAGCCTTACATGCCTACCTGAACCTCGCCTATAAAAAGGGAGCCGAGGATTCAGGATTAGGTTAACTTTCGTACTTATTCATAATAGCCTTAGCGCAAATCATTCTGTGTACGAGTTCACAGTATATCAAAGAGGGTTTACATCATTTCATCTGTGTTCATCTTTACTGTTAATCTTCTTTGTTATACTGCTATTCATTGCTGTTACAGAAACAGGGACTATCAATTTCCCCATAACCATTGTCAGTGACAGAGACAATATATTCTTGAGCTCTTTTTGGTCAGAATTATTTAACCTGGCAGGAACTCAACTTAAATATAGTACAACTTACCATCCTCAGACTGATGGTCAGACTGAGGTGGTTAACAGGTGCTTAGAGACCTACCTTAGGTGCTTAACTGGAAGGAAACCTAAGCAATGGAATCAGTGGTTACATTGGGCATAATTCTGGTATAATACTAATTATCATATTTCTTTGAAGCAGACTCCTTATAAAGCATTGTTTGGTTTAGATCCACCTGCTGTGATAAGAGGAGATGTGACTCTCACTGCAGTGGAGGAAGTCTCTAGAGTAACTGCGCAAAGAAATGCTATGATAGATGAGTTGAAGGAAAACCTTGCGAAATCTCAAAACCTTATGAAGCAGCAGACTGATAAACATAGAAGAAAGGTACAACTGGAAGTGGGGGATCAAGTATACTTGAAGATACAACCTTACAAACTCAAGAGTTTGGCTAAGAGAATCAACCAGAAGCTGAGTCCTAGGTTTTATGGGCCATTTCAAATCCTAGAAAAGGTTGGATCAGTAGCCTTCAAGCTTCAGTTACCTGAGGACAGCAAGATACACCCAGTTTTCCATGCCTCACTATTGAAGAAAGTAATTGCTCCTACCACATCATTTCAACCTCTTCCTAAATGCCTAAATGAGGACATGGAATTGCAAGTGATGCCAGAAGAAGTGTTGAACACCAGGATGAATGCAGAAGGAAAAGTTGAGGTCTTGATAAGATGGAAGAACCTCCCAAGTATTGAAGATTCATGGGAACTCCTACAGAAGCTGAAAGAACATTTCCCAAATTTTCACCTTGAGGACAAGGTGAATCTTAAGGGGGGAGTAGTGATAGAGACATTGGAGATACGCCTATTAAATATTGTAATAAGGTGTATAAAAGAAGGAATAAAAAGGGGTTGTGAGTTAGTTAATTAGCCCATTAACTAATTAGTATTCTATCCCTGTGGGAATATTGATATAAATAGAAGGTGAGCAGCTAAATAAGACAGGTTGTTATTTCTATTGGCTTCGGCTTTGGAGATTTGGGCTTCTCGAACAGTCCTGAGATTACGCATCTACCATGCTTCCTTGTATTTGGGCGAGCGGCCTAAGAAGGAAAATTGTATTGAAAAATGTATTAACATGTTATACAGTAGTGTGCTGAATTGGCATGTTCATAAAGGGATATCTGGTGGTTGGATGGCTTTGCAGTTTTATTTGGCTTTCCATTTTGTTGAAATGACTCCTATGTTTGGCATCTTTATTAAGAACACTAAAACTGTGTATTTATGCACAAGAGCAAAAAATGAAAAAAAGTCTTGACAAATTCTAAACCATTCTTGTATTGGCATAGAGTTTTTGAATTCCCTCCACGTGATTTGTACTACTTCGGTCCCACTTATAAGTTCTCTTTTGCAAAATGATATGGCACGAATACTAAAGTAATATTTAAATAAGAAATTCAAATATATTTTGAGAAATAATTTTGATGGGTATATAATATAATTGGGTAATTGATGATAATTATAATGTTAGAGATGTATTACTCCGTATTTTTTATAATTGATGATAATATAATTTTGTAATTGATGATAATATGATTTCGGTGGGGCTAGGCAGTGGTCATTGGATGAAGCGGTGCGGTGGCGGTAATTGGGCGTGTTGGTGGTAGTGTCATTGTGGCCTGAGATGGTGGTCAACAACGCAGTGGTGGCCAATGACAGCGGTGGTTATAGTGACAGGGGTGGTGGCTACAGTGACACAGACGTTGGCTACAATGACACGGGCATTGGGTACAGTGACACGGACGGTGGCTACGTTGACACGAACGGTGGCTACAGTGACATGGGTGGTGATGGATCTGGTTTCGAAGAATGTTAGTATGATCCGAGTGAGAACGCGGATGCGTCTACAAAAGAATTTAAGCTAGTGGTTGTTGCTCGAGTGGTTTCGGACAAACTTGTTCGTGCTGTCTCCTTTTTCCAAACTATGGCTATGGTTTGGCGACCAGTCAAGGGAGTTTCAATTGATGAAATTGGGGATTCTAAATTCCTATTACAGTTCTATCACGAAGGAGATCTGAACAGAGTTGTGATGAGGGCCTTGGTCATTTGAGCAGAATCTTGTGGTAATTAAACGATTGGGGCGTACTGATAAACCTCTGGAGGTTCCATTGGATCATGCGGACTTCTGGGTCTAGGTCCACAATCTACCGTTAAGCTACATGACAGTCAGAGCAGCTTGTGGAATTGCTAACAGTATTGGAGCGTTTGTGCAGGTGGATGAGTGTTCTGTCACGCCCCAGACCGAAATCTAAGCGCGTGTACAACCGACGTATAATCGAGTGACATCACCTGCGGGTCAACCTCACTAAATCATACAAGGCGTTCGAGAAAACAATCCATCCATACTAAGTAGTAAACATACATAACAACATCACAAAATAAACCATTGAATAGCAGAAATATTCAGCGGTAATTCATAGGCCACATTCGGCCAATAACATGGGCATGCAAGCCCAAGAGTAGTTTGAAACAAATAGAAATATCCATGAGCAATGTTTAGAAATTTGAAAGAACATGAGAAAGCACGAACCACGTCTTCCTTGAATTTGATATCACCCGTAGAAAAGTATCGGTAGCAAACACTAGCTTCAACCTGAAAATGGTGCCCCCCCGAATGGGTCAGTACAAGTACCGAGCGAGTAGCAGGCTAAATATAGAATAACTAGCGTTTCAAGTATAAGACTGATAAGTTTGTATTTAGACACGCATTTGATGCATGTTTAGATCGAGTTTTGATGGTTTCCCTAATTATTTTGTGTCACAAGTCTCAATTTTAGCTCAAGTCGTGTTTACCGGGCGTTGGTTCGAGTTTTGTGTTGTTTGGAGTCAAAATCAGGAATTTAGAGTCCGACACCGGCACTTGAGGAGCAAATAAGATGACTCGAGAAGCATTATAGAGTTTATTGAGAGCTTTGGAGGTCACCGGGAGGTTCACATTGAAGATTTGATAACAAAAGAGCTCTAGGATTGGCTACGAGATAAAATGAAGACGAATAGAGCTTGAAAATGAAGTTCAGGATGATCTTCTATCAATCGTTCAAGCATATCTCTTCGTAGAAGCATCCAAAGGACACGACTCAAGTTGCATATGAAATCCAATTTCAAGAGCTACAAATCATATGAAGACACTATTGCAAGAATCCGACAGGAAAAAGATGAAAACAGATGATGAAATCAGATGATCCCTGTTGCGATTTCAGAATGAGACCTTCCACCATTTTATTCATATCTCTTGATTGGATGATTCAAATCCAATTAGGCAAGTTGTGGTGGATAAATGACTTCATTATCTACAACTTTCACGAAGGAAGTTTTGTCAAATTCGGACTAGAGAATCCGTAAAACTCACTGGAAGCCACGCACGCGTGCGTGGGGGACGCAAGTGTGCGTCCAACGTTTTTACGCGCAAGCCTGTCGGACGCACGGACGCCACGCACGCGTGCGTGGGCACCGTGCGTGCCCCGTTTCAGTCCCAATTCAACCCGAATTACTCCATTTTTACTATTTAAACAGCCTGTAAACCCCTGTTTTGAGGGGGAGCTTAGAGAGAATGCCTACCACGAAATTTAGAGAGGTTTAAAGCCTTGTTCATCAATCTTTTGGGATTCTTTGTAAGTTCCATCTTTTTAATTAATGACAATTAATTCTATTCAGCCCAATTATGTTGATTCTTCAATTATGAATTGTGAGTAGTTTAATTAGGGATTTGGGATTGATGAAGGGGTTAATCATGATGTATGGCTAGATTCTTGATGGATTAATTGCATGAATGTCGTTTAATTTGTGTTTGAATAATTTAACCGATATCTCTTGTAACCTAGAACGCGCGTTAGAATTACAATTGCTTGTAGAATAAGTTAAGAGAGGTCTAATTTATTCTAGGACACATTCACACACACTTAATCACTCGCTAAGAGATTAGTAGCGATTAAGGGGCCGTAAGCTCGCTCGTCTTGCCAATAATTTAGGATCCTGTCGCATGAGAGATCAGCATGGTCCCCTATATTATTGTACTCTACGCCGCGAGAGCAGTAAGAACTTAATATTGATTAGCTAGGTTCAATTAAATTAATTTCATGTAATTAAGTCTGATCTGCCAGAGATCTGATTACCCCGGAATCAATCCATGTCCCCTTCGTCATTAATTAAGAAGAACCCAACCTTTTATTTTAATCGCTCATTCACTTTAGTTTAATTTCAATTAAACCAAATAATCTCGCACGACACATTTATTTTATTTATTTTTAATCGTTGAATTTAGTTAATATTTAATTCCCTTTTGTCCGTCCCTGTGGAGACGATACTCGTACTTACACCACTATATTATGATCTATTTTAAGTGCGAGAAAACTCACATCAAAGACCCAAACATAGGGTGATACTTATGTAAATAGTCTCTATCTGATTCTTATTGTTTACTATATCTTTTATTATGCTTGTTTCTTTGTTTGATTTACTGTGTTTTATCTTGATTGTATAGTATATATACACTTGGAAAATACTCGATGCGTAGATCACCGTTTCATTTTGGGAAAATAGTAATAGTCAATATTCTTGACTAAAAACCCAACCCACCCATATACTTATGAGTGTATAGGACTCCTCCTTATCCTTATTTCAATATCATCATCTATGAGTTTTGAGGATAACATAATCCTTGGGTACTCCACCAATATATATATTTGAGTGTTAAGGACTTCAAGTCCTAGGGTCCTCCACCAATTTATAATTCGAGTGTTAAGGACTTCCAGTCCTAGGGTCCTCCACCAATTTGTAATATGAGTGTTAAGGGCTTCAAGTCCTAGGGTCCTCCACCAATTTATAATATGAGTGTTAAGGACTTCAAGTCCTAGGGTCCTCCACCAAGTTTAATATATGAGTGTTAAGGACTTCAAGTCTTAGGGTCCTCCACCAAGTTTAATATATGAGTGTTAAGGACTTCAAGTCCTAGTGTCCTCCACCAAGTTTAATATACGAGTGTTAAGGACTTCAAGTCCTAGGGTCCCCGCTCCCGATGTGGGCCCCACGTGTGATTCACTAATCACGCAAAAGAATTAACAAGAAATTTTACAACCTCGTAAATTCATAAATCCTTATTCAAGGTTTATTACATGATTTACTAAAAAGTAAATATACTTGGGGACGGTGTTACATGCTCTCTTGGTGGAAAGAAAAGATTGGTCCTGCGCATTAGAGTCACTATTAATATTACTATGGCTTTGATTAGGCGCCTAGAGGTCAGACAGGAGGGGGACAATTGGATTTGGGTGAACTTTCAATATGAAAGACTCCCGAACTTTTGATTTCTGTGTGGGATTCTTGGTCACGCGGATCAGTTATGTCCTTCTAATCCGCATAGTGGTGTAGGGCTCGGGGAGAAGCCTTATGGTACATGGCTACGAGCTGATACGAGGTGGGGAGGATCGCATCCGGGTAACAGGTGGTTTACTCCTAGCAACAACAAGCTAGAAGATAGAAGGGATGACAAGGTAGTTTCTGATAGTGTGACGAAGGACCAGGAAAGCTACATGGTGGAAGGACTCCTGTCAATGGGTAAGGAGATGGCTACAACCCAGGACACACCAAGCAAGCGTAGGATCACAGAGACATATAGTGGAGTGGGGGCACAAGCAAGTATGGATGTGGATGAAGAAACTCCAAAAAACTTGGAAGTGGCGGTGCTGTCTGGGCAGCATCGCCAGTAACAGACGTTTGCAAGGATAAGGTTGAGGTTCCTTTAGCGGAGGCTAGTCAAACCATTGTTTCCTTGCCAGTGGCCGGAAAAACTGGATTATGTTCCTCGTTTGATTCTTTATTTTCTCAGAACATTGTTGTGTTTATTGGTTTCCATTTTAGTAGCAGGTGTAACATTGCTGTCTACCAATTTGCAGGGTTAGCGATAGGGCTGAGCATCGGGCGGGTTCGGGTCGGGCGGGCGGGTGAACCCAATACCCTTTCGGGTTTCGGATGTGTAATATGGATATCCTACCCTATGTTTTTTACTTAGATATTTTCGGGTTTTATTGTATTTCAGGTAGGGCGGGTTCGGATCGGGTATCGGGTTTAGTCGGTTTCAAGTTGGACAATATAAAATTACAATTGCAAAACATAATTTGATTCTCATACATAATGTGAATATTACAAAGTAAAGAGTATGAGGGATCAAAATTGTAACAAAGAGTTTTAGCATATTACAAAATACAGATTACTGAATTACACAATTCATTAATCATTAACATCCAAAGTTCCAACTAGTCAAGTACGCAAAAATGCAAAAATGCTTGAAGACTTTGAAGTTCCACAACTATCTTCCACAGTTTGAAGTTTCC